TTGTGAGTGGTGGTTTACACAGTGCCAGGTCCTCAACGATCATCCCTATTGTAGTGTGGATCAGAGTGCCAGAATCTGCCGGCCCGTCCATGGGTGTAAGAGTGAGGAGTGAGACATCTCTGGAGACCCTACTTTCAATTCCTTGGGCCTGAACCTGGCAGCAGACAGGCTGGTCCATGGTGAGTCTGAGTTGAATTTTCTGTGTAGCTTGCCTGCACTCTGTTCGTGCACACACACACACCATCCCAGATTTTGTCTCTTGCTGTGCTGCCCTTTGTGGGGGTAGATGCTTCTCAAAGAGAATCACTGACACTTCACTAGAGTAAGAGAAGCTGCCAACCTGCAGCACTAATTCCATTGCTTAAGGAGCACCATGCACTGGACTAGGGAATGGCTCAGGGTTCCATCCTTAGCACCATATAAAAGAAAACCAGGCTGGCATGCTAACTTCAGCTGAGCTTGGTGTAGAATGATGGCGTTAGCTTTCATGGAAGGGAAGGAACCACCTGGCCGCTGGCCAGGGCCCTGTGTGGGAACTAAGCTGAGTGCAGTTTCTTTTGATGACTTGTGGGAAGGTTACAGAACAATGCCAGGATATGGGATTGTTCTTAGCCTTGTGGAGACAGGAGGAGCTGTGAGGTCAGAATGACTCCGCTCTTCCCTGGTGGTTGTTCAGAGTCCCTGAGAAGGAACAACTGGTGTGGCTTGCTGCCTTCATCAGTGCTGCAGCACGCACTGGCTTCTCTCAGTTCCAGTGCAGTTTCTGTCAGGTTAGACCGCAGAAAAATCAAACCGAGTCCCTGGTCTTCAGTGATGTTAAGAGCTGAATGAGTGGGGGGCAGTGTAGAAGCGTCTGCCAGATGAGTGCAGGATGAAGAAAGCAGTGCCAACTGACTGGTCTCTGGAGCAGAACTGGGGTCCTTGAAATCTGGTGGCAGGTGGAAATCCTCAGTCGCACTGGGCGGATCAGCGGCTGCAGTCCTCTGGCCAAAGGTGGATAAGCCTGTTTGTAGCCTTCACCTGGGCCTGACCACACTGGGCACAGTCTGAGTCAGTGTTGCTGAGAGCTGCTCATGCTCAGAGCTTGCCAGGATTTGCAAGATCACATCACCGAGGCAACACTGTGGTGGGCAGCGGGAGGTGTTGAGAGCGTTCATCAGGCTACCGCCTACTCGTCTAGATCATCTCCAGCTGACCTGGCATCCTGTTAAATGCCACTCTGATTTAGTGAGTCCTAGCTCTGCACCATGAGAAGCCACTATGCCTTAGAATCCACTCTTGGCGGTGAGGTTCTTCTGTCCAAGTCTCGATGGCCACTGCCATTGGTCAGGATCCTGCACAGCACCCCCCCCCCCCCCCCACCCACCTTGGCTGCCACAGGCTTAGAGGTGTGTGAGAGCAGTTATATTTACCCTAACTGCTGAGTTAGGGACAGCTTCTCACTAGTTCTAACCTAGCCCCTTTATTTATTTTTAAGACATTTTCTTACACTGTGGCCCAGACTAGCTTGGAATTCACCCTATAGCCCAGGCTGGCCTCAGATTCACTGTGCAGCTGAGGGTTACTCTGAATTCCTGATCTTCCCACCTCTACCTCCTAAGTTCTGGGATAGCACCAGGCCTGCTTTTACAGTGCTGGGAACTGAATCCTGGGCCTTGGGCATGCTAGGCAGGCATGAGCTACATCCCTAGCACAAATTGTGCTTTTTTGGAGAGTAAAGAAAGCTCCAGTAAAAAAACAGAGAGCCATATCCAGGTGTTTGAGGCCACTGTGGGCTGTGTAGTCAGTTCCAGGCCAGCCTGGACTACAGAATGAGACTACCTCACAGAAATAAAGGACTAAGTAAAACAGTTGTCACAGTGTTAGGGTGTCCTGAGGCCCTGGCTTAGTGGTGATTGACAGAAAGGTTTTTAGCATTTTTTTCTCAGAGACATTCAAATGTTGCAGAGACTTTCACAATCCCATGGGACAGTCCTGCCACCTGCCCACTGCATAATGGAGTGCACTACTGCAAGCCACCATACACCTAGGTCACCATCCTGTCAGCCATTGGTGGAAGACTGAGGTGGAAGACTGGGTTGTCTGCCTGTGGAATCCCCCAGTCCCTGGTGCTGGGGATGGAACCCAGGCCTTGTGCATGGGAGGCCCCTGTTCTTCCACCCAACTCCACTCCCAGCCCATAATAAGAATTTCCGGTGTTTAATTTGCATACTTAAATCATGTTAGTGGGCAGGGTGTTGGTGGCGCACGCCTTTAATCCCAGCACTCAGGAGTCAGAGGAGGTGGATCTCTGTGAGTTCGAGGCCAGCCTGGTCTACAGAGCGAGTGGCTCCAAAGCCACAGAGAAACCCTGTCTCGGAAAAAAAAAAAACAAAAAAAATCATGTTAGTGATCAGATTTCCTCTCTGAGGTTAGCCTGGTTCCTGGATCAAGTCTGTTGGTGTTCCATTACATAGCATGCCCTTATGATAAGCAATCAGGTGGGCATTTCAATGTCCCCTAGCCTATGGCTACCCTATGTAGAGTTGGGTTGGGCATTAGGCTCCTGGCTTTGGAAGGCAGTTCATACAGATACATTGTAGGCCCGAGGACCTGAGTAGAGGCAGCTTTTGGGGACTCAGGTTAGACAGCATTAAGACCTGGTATCTCCCCCATTGTGTGCACCCACTGTGCAGTGAGGCCCAGTACAGTTGTGCTTGGTAGTCGGTTCTGGCTCTTCTGGGCAAGGACACCTCCGTGGAGGTCAGGCCCAAGGTGCTGGGTCTGGGCCACACTACTGCCCTTGTCTGAGCCCCTTCTTCGCAGCCGACTCTATAGGAACCACTTAGCTCCAACAATCAATTGCAAGGATAGACTGTGCTGGGTCAACATATTTGAAGTTGTAATTGGGCTGTGGGGTATGATGGCTTTTCGGAAGGTGAGCCAGAGATACACGGCTAAGATGCCCACATCCTGGTCCAACTGGCCCGTGGTCTCTCTACTTCTTGTCTCTCTTGCTTTTGTTGATGAGCATTCTTCTCTCCAGTTAGTATTGCTGTGATTAGGCAGGGCCTTATCGGCAGCTGGCCTGATCCCTGTGATGTGCTGGAAGATGAGCTCACCAGTGGGAGGTGCCAAGTTTGCAGCCTTGGAGCCAGGCCATGACCCCTGTGTGACTCAGTCTCTGAGTTTAATCATCAATAGCATCCATTTACACAAGCACACACCAGTATACCAGTTCTGGGACCCTGCCTGGGTCTTCTCTCTGGAGGGGACAGCCAGGCACAACCGAGAGGAGAATGCTGTGTGGGACTGCTGCTCTTTGGGACCTAGGACAGAGGGAGGGAGCTTGAAAGAAACTGGATCCTCAGGCCCTACCAAAGCCACCCAGAGAACCTCCTCGATGCCTGCAGCTGACAGCCCATGAGTACTGGCAGGACCCCATCCATCCAGAGCATGGGGCATCTCATGGCATCTGTTACTGAAGGGGGAAAGACCAACCTCTGGGGACTATCAGAACTGAAGTGTTGACCCCCCCTCCACTAGGCTGCACTATGTCCCATTCCAGGCAGCTGCTGTCCCACCCTGTGCAGGCCTGGAGTCCTGACATGGGAGGTCACTGTGAACATCTGATAAGGTTGTGCTATGAAGCCCAGCCTGACACTTCACAGGGTATGATACTGGGAGTGTGAGCTGAAGCTGTCTTTGGGTTCCAGGGTCCTCATATCCCTTCTCATGCCATGTGCTCACTACTGAGGGGTGCTGACCTGCCTTTAGTCCTGGGTCACACTGTAGGCTTGTCCTTTGTTCGGGTCACGTCATCTCTGTGCCTCCTGCCTGGGTGCCAATGGAGAGGACATGGCCTTCCCTGGGCATGCTGGCAGGTTTAAATATGGTGGCTCCTGCTAGACCTTGCAGGGTACACTGGTGAGGGTTGGCACTGTGGATGGAGGCTGCTCAGTGGCAGACAGCTCTCTAGTGGTGAGGACTGGTGCAGTTAACGGTGCTGGCAGCCCCCTCCCCCCACCTGAGACCTGAGGCAAAGGCTGGCATTTGGTTGAGGTGAGTTGGGTGTGGGGTGGAGCTGTGGTGAGATGGAGGAGGTGGGAGGGTGCTAAGGACCTTTCCACTGGTGTGGTATTGGAAATGGGTCAGGGCTGTCAAGAAAATGACCACATCATCCAAAGTATTTTGAAAACGAAACAGATTCACTTCTGCAAAAGGGTTTCAGTCAGCCACACCCAGTGGGGTCCCACTTTGTTTTTATTCCTAAGGCAAAGAAGGGATCCCATGTCTCACTCTGAATAGTCAGAGCTCATGCTCACCCTCTTATACTGCTTAAAGGGACAGTTATTAGCACAGCACCACCTCTGATCTTAGAGAAGTACTGACTGGGGAGGGATTCCTGTTGAATGCCTCTTTACAGATTTCTCTGAAGATGGAATTCAATTCTACAGTGCGGGAGCTGAGATTTTGAAAGTCTGTGAACACTCCTAAACTCTTTGTCCCATTTAACCCTTTGACAGAAAGGACAGCATATCCATTTGCATTTCCCATAGGGGGATTAGGGCAGTTTGACCAAAGAGATATTAGGTGCCCCACTGCTCTCCAGCATCTGTTGTGAGGACAGACCGAGGACTTCGATGAGCCATACTGTGCACCTGGGACCTAACACCAGTGTAGACTTCACGTAGGCGTGAATAGTCACCATTTCCAGACTACCGAGTACTCACTCATTGTTAGGCTTTTGAACCACAGCAGAGCCTACAGCACAGGTGTGCCTTGAAGGGGCCCTAACTGCAGCCGAGCAGACAGCAACAGTGGGTGTGCATTGAGGGTGGCTTTGACTGCAGCGGAACAGGGCCTTCATTTGTGGACAAGCAGAGAGGTCACCACAGTGAAGGGCAGATTCCTATTAGTAAAGGAGTGTCTGCCTGTCCTTGCCTGCCTGCCTGTCATAGCCCCGGTCTCTGCTGCTTTGTAAGCTCTTGATTTTACTTCTAGTGTGTTTCTTGTTGCAGAGTATGGCGTTTGTGAAAACCTGCGGAAGCTGGAGATCACAGGCGTGTCTTGCCGCGATGTCTATGCAAAGCGTGAGTCAGTCCCTTTGTCTTTTCCACCACCCTTTCCTCTGTAGCAGAGTGTAGTAGATAGGTGGCAGCCATGACCGACAGTGGGATTGCTGCTTTCTCCCATCCTGGGCACATCACTTTTAAATTCATAGTGGCTAAAGACATCTTAAACAAGACATCGGGACCCATGTTTGTGTTTATAATCTAGATTTTACTTTTGGTGGTGTTGAGGGTTCAGGGCTAGGCAAATGCTCTCTTTGTGGCCCACATCCCAGCCCATATGTTCTGTTATTAACATACATGATAATTGTGTATATTTGTGGGATACAGTGCCCTCACTACTTATACACAATGTATGGTCAGGTCAGGCTTAATGGCATATCCGTTACCCAAACATTTATTCCTGTGTAGGGAGCACTCGTGGTTCTGTCTCTCAGAGTTGTCTGCTGTGCTGTATCACACTGGTTCTGCCTCCTGCCCTGCTATAGCTTGCACCTGTTACCAGAGACCAGGGCTGAGCAGTGTGGGCTGGGTAGCAACACTCTGGTCTTCTGGAATTGAGTTGGGCCTGCAGCCTGGTGAGATGTAGACAGCATGCAGGAATTGCGAAGCGGAGCCATGTTTTCCATCAGTTCCTACAGTTTTCAGAGTGGCTTCCTGTGCCACGCTTCACATCCTTCTGTAGCTCTACATTCCCTTTTCTGTAAGCGTGTTAACCCCAGGTCTTGTTTCTCATTTCACTAGTTCCTTCACTTTCTAAAATCTCCTCCCCCAAGTGCTCAGCATTCCCTGTCCCCAGTTAGCCTCTCTCCAGAGCCTGCGGTGCTCATATATATTCCACACTGTGGCTAAGTGACTGCCATTCATGTTTGGGTGATACTGTCCCCTTCTGACTGCTCTGAGTGTGGCTACCTGACCCTCGTCGTTACAAGCCAGTAGACACAGCTTGCTCCTTGGGCGTTATGAGCACCAGCCATCTCGTCCTCACAGGGTCGCAGCTGTGGACACTGCCCAGGTGTCCGTGTCCTGTAGCAGCTCAAGGAGCACACGTGGGTGGGGTTTCTCAGCTGTGCTCCTCTGTCCTGTGGGAGAAAACACCTGGGTATAGGGCCTGGAGACAGTGTCACTGATGTGTGGTGGAGGTAGGCAGGTGAGGACAGCAGAATTCTGCTGTTTGGCTCTGTAAATATGCTGTGCTGCAAAGCCCATCCTCTCTGCCTGCTTCTCAGCCTCCCTGGGGGTTTGGTCTGCACTGGCTGGAGCATACTTCAATTCTACAGTGCGGGAGCTGAGATTTTGAAAGTCTGTGAACACTCCTAAACTCTGGGACTAATGGCTGAAGAGTCAACCTGAGTCTCTGAATAGGTGGCCAGGCTGGTCAGTCTGGATTCAGCAATGACAGGTGTGACGTTGCCTTAAAACACACAGCATGAGTTCAAGGAGATCATGAAGGTGGCTGTGAGCCAGTGTCTTTGTTGGGAAGGAACCTGGCCCAGCCTCTAGGGACCTGTCAGCCACACCTGCTCTCCCACTTCTAGGCCCCAAAGAATTATGACAAGGGAGTGAGAGAGTCACAGGGGCCACCTAAGTTTATGGCTGCAGGGAGTTGTAATACACAGGGAAACCTCCCACATAGTGTGCTCTGCAGTGACTTGACCCCAACAATAGGAGTGGCAGGAGGAAGAGGGTGCAGAGTCACATGGCAGCTGCTCACATGTGAGAGGGGACCCTTAGCCTTTCCTGCTGTGTCCGTTCAGGTATAAACCCTCGAGTGAAGTCAGGACGCTTCATGAAAATTCTCCCTGATTACGAGCACATGGAGTACAGAGATGTGTACACCTGCCGTACGTACTCCATACCCTGCACTGTGGCTGCTGCTGTTGCTGCATGGTTGACCACAGGCTCACTTCCTGGCCCTGGGGAGATACTGATCCCTGACCTTTTCTCCTTTGCTCTGCTACAGCTGTGGTTTGCTGTGGTGGGTCATGCTGAGTGGTAGCCTAGACTCTGTATGCATGGGATGGGTTTCCACAGTAGCTTCCAGGGTCCTGGGCAGCAACAGTCATAGTGGTTTGGGCAGGCATATCTTACCTTTATATTTTAAGGTAGTGACAGAAAAATAACAGGAGAGCAGAAGGCAGTGTAGAGGTCTTTAAAGCTCCTCCATCCTAAAATAACGTGAAACTGGGCTCAGTGCCACATACCTGTGAGTGAGCCCAGCACTCATGAAACTGAAGCAAGAGGATTGTGAGCTCTGGAACAGCCTGAGCTATAGAGCAGGACAACTTTCAAAAAACAAAATAAAGAAAAAACAAGAAGAAATGGAATGTAAACCACCCTCCCACTTTGTCAGTTAATCACATGAGCTTACAGAAAAATTACCCCGCCCCCATCAGACACAGGGAACCACTGCTGCTTCTTTAGAATGGATTCAGTTTTAGGAATCCATGAAAAGGTGGGAGAACTGACTCCATCGAATTGTTGTCTCAACTTCAGTTTCTGACTGGGACATGTGGACACCTGACTTCCTGCTCTGACTGAGTCCTGGAAGTTTTCTTCAACACAGTGAGAGCGAATTTCAGTTGTCTAGAAAGAGGTCAGCAGGACTGGAGAGATGGCTCAGAGGTTAAGAGCACTGGCTGCTCTTCCAGAGGACCTGAGTTCAATTCCCAGCAACCACATGGTGGCTCACAACCATCTATAGTGGGATCTGATGCTCTCTTGGGGCTTGCAGGTGTACATACAGACAGAGCACTCAAACATAAGAAAGAGATCAGAGCTGGGAGTGGTGGCCATGCCTGCCACCCCAGTTCTTGGTGGTGGCAGTAGGGATTAGGAGTTTAAAGCCAGCTTTGGCTATATAGTAAGTGTGAAGCCAGTTCTATCTCAATAAAACCCCAAATAAAAGTTATGAATAGTCATTTCCCCTCTAACAAAAGCAGTATAACAAATAGGTGAGCTTGTGACTGTTTCCCAACATGCTGTCAAGGACTGGCCCATAGCTACAGCTGGATACAAGGTTCTTATTTCCTGTGGGGATAGTTCCAGCTTTGTGAGATGCTTGTCTTTGTCTAGTGTGGGCACTTTCAATAGCTGCTAACAAACACCTTTGCTGTATTGGCTGGCACAGAGGTGAACTAACTGCCAAGGTCATGGCTGGTTGTATGGGAAGCCCTGGGCATGGGAGGGCACCAGACCTGGGCAAGGCTGAGCTTGGGAGGGCCTGGCGGTTTGCAGAGTAGAGACAGTGTTTCCAGAACACTGTGTCCTGAGCCAGCCAGCCCTCCCTGCTGAGCAGAGAGCAGCAAGTTCTGCCAGCCCCACAGGGAGGGGATGGCTCTGGGAAGCCATGGGAACAGCTGACCCTGTGCAGGGCCAAGGATCTTCTACATCCCCTGCCCTGCCACATCCATGGGATTCTTCTGGAACAGTGTGGAAACCCAGCCCTCCCAGGAGGTCTGAGAGTATAGAGCCTTCTCCCTCATTCCTGGAGATACTGCTGAATGCCTGGGTTTTTCAGCCTCCTGTTGGTGGTCCTGCTGCAGAGTGGCAGAATGGGGATTGCTGTCTTGTCAAGGTTTGAGTGCATTTGAGTCATACAACACTTGGTGGGGGCTTGGAAAGCCTGGACAGTACAAGGAACATCGCTGGTGGTGAGCCCCTGGTAGCCCATGGCCTCTGAGCCCCACCATCTGACTTGGAGCCCTCATACCTCTGGTTTCCAGGCACTTAGTAAGTGTCAGCTGGGCTCTAAGTGTATTTTCTCACCAGTCTGCAGTGATGCCTTGCACATGAAGGCTTTGGGGCCTAGCCCTACCTGGGTTTTTGTCACCCACAGGGGCCTGAGTTGGAACTTACATGTGAAGTCCCTTGGACCCCAGGCTCCTAGAGTGGATAGGATGAGAAGGGTGATGAGAAGTTCCTAAGTGTAGGACTGTCCCAGACAGACATATATCTGTGCCACAGATCTGTGGAATGCCAGTAATTGGTCTCAGCATTTAGGGACACTTGTGTCCTTGGTTGGTGCTGTCATCTGTCCTTCCTTGTGTGGGTTGAGGGTGACTGCAAAGTGTTCTGAACTTACAAGTCACTTGGAGTGACTGTGGCTGCCAGGCCTGTGGGTGATGCTCCAGAGTTCTGAGGCAGGTGCAGGATTGAGGACATGACCCTGCCTGTGGTAACAGGATGTGGATGGCATGGTGGGAGGCCTTCTACAGGCTCCAGACCTTCTGTTCACAAGGAGCCACTAACACTGACACTCCCAGAGGAACGGGGAGCACATGAGAAAGTGTAAAAACAGATGCTTGTGGTGGGCTCATCATTTATTTTGTGCACTATGGCACTTCTGGCTTTGACCCAGTGACTAGGATGAGAGGCCTGTTGGTTACATTTTTCCTTTTGGACAAGTGGGAAGTGTGGGGCCACTCAGGCTCACTGTCTGCAGACAGACCTGAAGACATTAACACATTCAGTTATTTTCCACTGTAGATGGGAGCCGAGTTTAGGTGAATGTTGCTGAACTGACTTTTTTCTGGGCAAACCTAGGCTATCAGTTGGGATAGCACAGGACTCACCTTTGGAGGCAGGTTTAGTGCTTCAGCTGATTCTGTAAGCACCTGTAGACTGGCTGCAGGGAGAAGCAGCTTGTTTCTTCTCTTGGTGTCCAGCTCTCTTGCTGGTGTCAGCAAAGGGAGGAGGCTGGTTTCTTCTCAGGGTTTATCTGTACGTGAATGCACCACCAGATGGAGTCATCCGTGATGTATACTCCCTGTTCCCTCAGCACACAGCCAGTAATGTTTGTCAGTTGCAGTGTTTTCTAAAATAATTCTAAAATGGGCAATTTCTCCAATGTTTCTGCTTTTCAACTATAAATGATAACAAAATGTTACTTTTTTTCTTTTACACCTGCCCTTTAAGCAAGATGACACAGTGGCCACTCTTTGGAGTGTGCCTCCATCACCCTGCACTCTGGGCTCCAATACTGTCTGCTGGGCTTGTGAGTTTAGAGACATGTGGCAAGGTGATCTTAGGAAGCTGTGGTTCCCTGTGGGTCGGTGTGCCTGCAGCCTGTGTATCCTTGTAGCTCTTTGGAAATAGCTGGTGGCCTTCCAGGCTAACTAGCCAGCCTCACACTTGTTAGAGTTGCTGAGGATGTGGCTGGCGATTGATGCATTTAGTCTGAGATTTCCATGTTAGTGTGACCTGTGCCTGGTCCCTCCCTGGCTTCTTCCCTGTGTCGAGTTCTGTATGTGTCTCTGAGCTGTTTGTCAGTAGCTCAGGTGTGAGCATCAGTTATGGTCTTGGGCTGGACCTGGAGGTGGTAGCAATTCTTCAGCAGTGTCCAAAGGCTGGACTGTCCCTCTCTCTGCACCCCAGGCCAAGGTCTTTGTGGTTCTGCCTGGTTGGCCTGAGTGTGAGTGTGCCTTGAGAGACCCCATACCCCTGCACTGGACAGTCAGGACCTTCAGGAGCACCCAGATTCATCCATTTATTACTCTGAGCAGCAGTTACATTGGTCATGGTGTTGGGCACAGGTTGGACTGTCATCTATAGTGGCTCATGGTGGAGGTGTTTCCTGTACCCCAGAAGCATACTGGGTGAGTGGAGCATGTTGGCTAATAGTGCCCCTTCTCTCCCCACAGTGCTTCACCGATACAGACACATTTTGGGGTTGTGGCAGCCAGACATCGGGCCTTATGGAGGACTCCTGAACGTGGTGGTGAGTGGGAGCCTCGTGGTGGTTCTTGTGTGTAGGAGGTGCCCACACTGGATAGCGGCAGTGCCATTTCTTGGCACAGTAGAGGAGATTGAAAAGCCACCCCTAGGGTTTCCTTTCAGGGCCAGATGTTACTTTCTAAGTGAACAAAGATTTGTTGTAAGAGGTCTATTAGCTATCTGGCTGTGCTCCTGGACTGTTTAAGACACTCAAGCAGCCATAGGGCCCTCAGCTCCTGGATGCAGAGGTTGCAGGCTATGTCTGCAGCCACAGGCTCTGATGTGCAGTTGTTGACTGAAGGAGAGAACAACCCTGCCTGCTGTGCCCATTCTCTCCTTGCTGCAGGTGGATGGCCTGTTCATCATCGGCTGGATGTACCTGCCTCCTCATGACCCCCACGTTGGTGACCCCATGCGATTCAAGCCACTGTTTAGAATTCACCTGATGGAGAGGAAGTCAGCCACGGTGGAGTGTATGTACGGCCACAAAGGGCCCCACAACGGCCACATCCAGGTAGAGGAGAGCTAGGTCCTCTGTGACTTGACAGGCATGTGCAATGAAGGGCTGTCCTCCTTTGGTTGTCACAGGCCCATGCCACCCTGGTGGGTGACATGGCACCTTTAGCTGTGGCCTGTCAGTTCTACCATGACTGCTAGCTCTGGGCTGTGGCTTGTCCAGCTCAGTGGAGTTGAGGAAGGGTCTCCCCATGCTGTGTGTGTGTGTGTGTGTGTGTGTGTGTGTGTGTGTGTGTGTGTGTGTGTGTGTGTGTGTGTGTGTGTGTTTGTGTGTGTGTCTGTGTCTGTGTCTGTGTGAAGATGGATGTTACTGGAGCCCACTAGAACTTCCTTTTTCTTAGCACTTTGCTGCTCTCCCAGAAGGCTAGTATCTTCCCTTCTGTTGGCTGGTGTTCAGTGTGCTGTCACATGCTCTACTCTGCTCCTGGCTCCCATGAGCCTGGTGGGGGAAGTGCTGTGCTTGCCTCTGGAAGTGCACATGCTGGGAAATGTTTTTGTTGGTTTTTTTTTGGTTTGGTTTTTCAAGACAGGGTTTTTCTGTAGCTTTGGAGCACATCCTGAAATTTGCTCTGTATACCAGGTTGGCCTTGAACTCACAAAGATCCACCTGCCTCTGCCTCCCAAGTGTTGGGATTAAAGGTGTGCACCGCTACTGTCTGGCTAGTGTCTTCCTTCCAATGCATTTGGGTCTTTGTTTTCAAAGTTTTAATTATAAATTAACTGTGTGTGTGTGTGTGTGTGTGTGTGTGTGTGTGTGTGTGTGTGTGTGTGTCACAGTGCACATTTGAAGATCAAAGTACAGCTTATGGGAGTCAGCTCTGTCTTACCGTGTAGGTTTTGGGGGATCAAATTCAGATCTTCAGGCTTGGTTGATGACAAGTGCCTTTACCTGCCAAGCCATCTCACTAGCCCCTCAAAAAATTTATTTGGGTGGGTGTGTGTCCATATAGTCACCTCTGTGTGGATGCATGTGAGCTTGTGTGGGCATCTGTGTGGCAGTGGGACCAGCCTCAGGTGGTGGTGTTACCTATGAGCTGTCCTCTTGTGTTTTGAGTCAGGGTTTCTTTCTTTCTTTCTTTCTTTCTTTCTTTCTTTCTTTCTTTCCTTTTTTTCTACCTGCCCCCTCCTCTTTTTAAAAAAAAATTAATTTATTTTTACATTCCAATCTCAGTTCCGCCCTCCCTCCTCTCCTCCCGCTCCCCCAACTCCCCATCCCTCCCATCGAGTCAGGATTTCTTGCTGTGACCTAGGGCTAGCCAATTATGCTAGGCTGGCTAGCAAGCCCTAGGGGTCAACCTGTCTTTACCTCCTCAGCTCTGAGATTACAAGCCTGTGCCACCTCTGGTCCTCATGCATTCCACTGACAGCCATCATCATTGCCACCGAGTAACGTGCCCCAGCCCTTTTTTGATTGTTTTTTTGTGTTTCGAGGCAGGGTTTCTCTGTGTAGCCTTGGCTGTCCTGGAACTCGCTCTATAGACTAGGCTGGTCTTGAACTCACAGAAATCTGCCTGCCTGAATGCTGAGATTAAAGGTGTACATCACCACTGCCTGGCCTCCAGCCCTCCTTTTATTTTGAGGCAGTTGCACTGAGTTGCCAGCCTGGCTTGGAGTTCACCCTTAGAACCTGGAATTACCTGCCTCAGCCTCCCAAGTAGATGGAATTATAGGCCTGTACCTCCTCCAGACTTGACATAGTTGGGTCTCAGTGGGTTTGATGGTGGACACTGGGATTCATCGTTCCTTCTGGTCCTTTTTCTTCCATGGTCATACTGAAGATTGTGAAGAGAGATGAGTTTTCCACCAAGTGCAACCAGACAGATCACCACAGGATGTCCGGTGGGAGGCAGGAGGTGAGTTCTGGAGTCTAGGAGGGAGGCTGTGGAAAGATGTTTGCATGCATGGGCACTGACCTGACCTCCTGTCAGTTGAAGTGGAGGCATGTGAAGACCCATCAGTTGGAATTGCCATCTTATAACCAGCATTATTGTGGTGCAGCAGTCACCTAACCCCATCTTCTGAGCATGTCTGTGGTCCACCTTTCAGAAACATCCACGTGGACTTGTGCATGAGCACAGCTTATATTCCCTGAGTAGTCTGAAATCACTCCCTGTGCTCTCCTGCACACTCTGGTGGGAACCCACCCACTCAGACTGCTAGAAGCCATGTCTAGATATTCCATTCAGTCCTCTTGCCCCCGATCCAGAGCTGTTTTCTCCACTCAGGGAACCTGGTGGCCTGGGTTTCTAGATCATGGCAGCACAGTGGATGCCCATGTGTGCTTGGCTTCCTGCCACTTGCACAAGTGAGTTTATGTTGCTTTTGAGGTTTGTTTTGATTTTTGAGCAGCTAAGTCATACCCCCCATTAAGAATAACTTGGGATTGTTGAGTGTGGGTGTCTGTTGGAACTGTTTATGATGGCTATACATCTGTAACCAGCTTCTAGGTTCCAGGGTTCCCTGTGGCCAGAGACTCATAGGAGAGTTCCAGTGAACAGTGCTTGCACTTGGTGGACTCCTGCCCTAACACTGCCATCAGTCTGCTTTCCTAGTCATGACTTGCTGCCCCAGTGAGATTGATGGAGTTCTCATTTATGTGGCCTTAAGCTGTTAAGTCCTTAGAGGACATTGGTTCAGTTTCTGGAAATGTGTGATGGGATACTAGGGATTCTGCAGGCTCTCTGGCTTTGAAGGGAGGAGTTTTCCTTATTATAAATGCAGCGTGCTCCTGGCTGAAATGACAAGCAAGTGCTTTACTGGGCTTGGGGTGTCTCCTTAGGAATGAGGCCAAAGATATCCTGTGTTCGTAAGTTCTGGGTTTCCTTGGCTCTGAGCCCTGGTTACAAATGCAGATCTCTAGCCACATCCCAGACAGGCATGCCCATCCCAGATATCCACAGGCACTGCCTGAGCTTTTCTTTATAGCAGCTAAGCCAGCTTCCACCCCCTCTCTTACCTAGCCAACCCCTTTCCTGCAGACAGAGGCCTTTGGAGATGTGAGAGACTGGGAAAGGCAGAGGTGGTGGAGAGGAGGAAGCATGGCCATGTCATCACACTTGGCCATTTCCCAGGGCTGTTGGGAGCATATCATGGTGATTTCTGAGTGCCAGGTACAGTGTGTCCCTTGGATGGACATGAAAGTCACTCCTGAGCTGTGTTCCAGGCCCTGGTGCAATCCTTGTGTAGCTGGGGCTTGCCTTGGTAGGTTGACTGGTGATCACCCTGTGTCAGACCTTGGCTTTGAGCAGTGGCCTGGGGCTTCCTAGTGACCCCTCCTAGGTCAGCCCCTGTGATGGTCGCCCAGTCATCTCAGTGTGATGCTGATGAAGTCTTTGTTGCTCCCATTTGGTTGCTTTTATTTTGTCTGTTATCTATTTGGTTTTTATGAAAAAATTATTTCTCCCACAAGAATAGCTACTGTGATGAAAGGTTTAATTTTGAGGTTGGGACAGGTTTTGTTAAGTTGGCCTGGCTGTCCTAGAGCTCACTATGTAGATCAGGCTAGCCTCCAGCACACAGAGATTGGCCTGTCTCTGCCTTTTAAAATTTGTGAGTGTGTGTATATGTGTATGCATGCACGTGTGCATGTGTGCTTTGTGAATTTTTGTCAGAGATGTCTAGGAGAGAGTGTCAGATCACCTGGATCTGCAGTTATATAGGTCATTGTGAGCTGCTAGGTATGGGTGCTGGGAACTGAACACAGGTCATCTGGACGAGCAGGAAATGCTCTTAACCACTGAGCATCTCTTCAGCACGAAGGGTGTAATAATTTCAGTGGGGCCTAATTTTAAAACATTTTGGGGGGTTTAAAAAAGCCTTACGCCCAGTTTGCAGACAATGTTGCCTTCCTCTTTTTAAACAGAGGGATGGAGGCCTGTTAGTGTCTTGACCCCTCCACTTTGCTTTGTGGTCATGTCTGTTGCCTCCTGAGTGTGTTGTGTGAGTAAGGGTGGCTCTGTTGGTTGAAGATTTTCCCCAGTCAGAGCTCCAAGCTCTGATGTCCAACATCCTTGTTGAAAAGGGGCCAGATGGTGTTCCTGTCTTTTGACTCCAGGAACCCACCTGCTGGTCCTCATGTCATAGAGCACTCATGTCCGTGGGTGGATGGTGTTGAGAGCCCTTGGTGTTTTCCCATTTTGTCCATGTGACTGGATTCTTTGCATTTTTCTATGGTTCTAGTATGGGCTCTCCGGGTTCTTGGTGTGGTGTGTGGTGAGCTTGCTTCTGAGGTGTTGGACCTAGAAGTCAGTTTGCAGTCTTGACAGGGCCGAGTGTCAGGTGGTTGTAGACAGCATGCCTGACTCCACTCAGACCTTGCCTCTGGTCAGTTTTGTTCTGTGGCTTGCACACTAGTGACCCTATACACACTGTGTTTACAATCCCAACTTTGTGAGGGTGCTGGAAACAGAAATTTGTAAGATTTTGTGCTGGGCCTTTGGCTTCCTTTTGACCTGCAATGGCTCCTGGGTTCCTGCAATGACTTGTTAAAGAAACCCATCAAAGATTGTAGCTTTTCTAATTTTTTTTGTTTGTTTTTGTTTTCCGAGACAGGGTTTCTCTGTAGCTTTGGAGCCTGTCTGCCTGTCCGATTGTAGCTTTTCTTAATTTTGTAAATTGCTTTTGCCTCCATCTGTGGAGCTCATATTAGGCTAGGCACTGGAAATGCCAGGTCATGTTTGGAAGCCTATGTTAATTGGGTAGATCAAACCTTTGAGCAGGTTGCCCTGAGCAGGGTCTGACTTGTCCTAGTTGAGCAGGGGCCGCCTGAGTGACCTGTCCTGATCAGGGGTTGTCCTGAGTGACCTGTCCTGGGTAACCTGTCCTGGGTGAGCAGGGGCCACCTGAGTGACCTGTCCTGAATGAGCAGAGGCTATTTCTCATTGGTGGGTTTAGGATGGGGCCCTGCTGTACCTGTGCTCTTCAGATGCTTGAGGTCTCTTGGGCTGTGCAGGAGAGAGCTGGATCAGTCTCTCACTATAGGCACAGTAAGGGGCTGTTTCCCAGGACAGGGGCTCTGGCCCCAGCCTTGCCTGATGGAACCCTGTGACCTTGCTGCCATCTTGGGAGTCAGGCTATGTGCCCTGAGAAGATGAGGACCCTGTGCTTTTCACAGGTGGGCTGTCCTCAGACCCCTATCCCAGGTGCTCACCAGCTCCTGCTCACACCTGCCCACCAGGAAGCTCCTTCGGCTTGGAAGTATTCATTCAGTCAGCATCCTACAGCAATCTCCTTCCATTTTGGTGACTCCCATGCCCTTGTTCTCTGAAGGAGTTTCGGACGTGGCTGAGGGAGGAGTGGGGCCGCACGCTGGAAGACATCTTCCATGAGCACATGCAGGAGCTGATTCTGATGAAGTTCATCTACACCAGTCAGTACGAGTGAGTCAGGGCCTCTGTGGTGCTGTGAGTGCAGACTCTTGGTACTGTGAAAGTAGTGCAGCTCACTGTAGGTGTGAGTACAGCCCTCTCTCTGCGTGAGTGTGGCCCGCCTCTGTGGGGACTATGCTGTTTCCATTCTGTGGGTACTATGAAGGCAGTCCCCCTCCTCTCTGGGTACTGTGAACTCAGTTGTTTCCCTTCTAGGATACTATGAATTCAGTTCTCCCTTTTCTGTGTGGGTACTGTGGACTTAATCTCCCTTTCTGAAAGTATGGGTATTGCAGGTCCCCTCTCTCTGTGGGTGCTGTGAGCACAACCCTATCCTTCACACCTACCAGTATCATCTTTGTCACCCCAGTATAGACATCAAGTGGCCTAGGGCCTAGGAGCCTAATCTTAGTCTCCCCCTGGCCTCTGACTCCATGCCTGGCCAGAACCCCTCATGGAGTTATGGGCCTAGGGTCCTTTCCTGAGGGTAATGGTGAGCTGGCTGTTCTCATGGGCTTACCCTGCTAGGCCCTGAGGGTGCATCTTGGTGCCAGGAGTGCTGTGCCCAAGGGCTGGGGGTGAATGGCTTAGCCAAGGGGATGGCTAGGCATGGAGGACACCTGTCCAGTCAAGCTGAATCCCTTGTTTCTTCTATTCATGCCCTGCAGCAACTGCCTGACCTACCGCCGGATCTACCTCCCACCCAGCCACCCCGATGACCTCATCAAGCCAGGCCTCTTTAAGGGCACCTATGGCAGCCATGGCCTGGAAATTGTGATGCTCAGCTTCCATGGCTCACGTGCCAGGGGCACCAAGATCACGGTGAGCTGTACCATTGCCTCACAGCCACTGTGAGCAGTGGTGGATAGGTATGAGTCCACCATGCTCTAGAGACACAGGAATCAGTGAACGAGGACCCTGCCAGTGGTGGGCATGCTTATTTTCAGGCCCTCTCCAGCACTGGTGACCCAGACTTCCTAGGTTCTGAATGAGCTAGGACTTGGAAAAGGGACCCCAGGCTGCCTACCTAACATCCTTGTGCAGCCTAAACAGGCAGCCTCACACACAGCTCATGTAGTTTGGTCACTGTTGTGTTCTGGGCTCTGAGCCTCAGATAAAGTCCCTCTTCCTGAGCTCCGAGTAGTTGTCTGCACATGTGGCTGCTCCTTGCCAAGGCTACTTTGTCACAAGTCACCTATCATTGAGTTCTGGGGGGCAGGTTTTAGGTGATACTCCTGTGTCCTGAGCAGCAAAGCCTCTGTCAGATCCTTCTATGGGAGAAACTCTATACAAATCAGGATAGGATCCAGAACCAGGATCTTCGCTGATACCAGACTCCTCCCCTGGGGTTTTAACATCCCACCACCACAGAGTCGCTGGGTGGAGGGGTGGGAGTTTCCTCCAGTCAGGCTCAGGAACAGTTCCAGGCAGACCAGCCTGAGCTGAGCTTCTAGCCGCTCTTGGCCAGACCCTGGGAGGGTCCATGTGCCTCACAAGCGGGGTCTCTAGGCACAGGAGCACCTGTGTGGGCCTGCACCCTCAGTGGGCATCTCATGTCACTCATTCGTGCCATGGCTGTTTTGGGAACTGATTGGTTAAGGAAGCCTTTAGACTCTGTACCTTGTGAGGTGTTGCTGCAAAACCTGGCAGAGCTTGAGCATGCTCTGCAGGCTGGGAGCTCTCAGTGGCTCTCCCAGCTCTACTTACTGCCACTTGTCCTCTCTGCAGGGCGACCCAAACATCCCTGCTGGGCAGCAGACTGTGGAGATTGACCTGCATCGTCGAATCCAGCTGCCAGATGTGGAGAACCTCCGCAACTTCAACGAACTCTCCAGGATTGTCCTGGAGGTCCGAGAGCAGGTGCGGCAGGAGCAGCAGGAGGCTGGCGAGGACCCTGCCCCACTTCGGGAGCCTTCAGCCAAGGGCCCTGATGGGCCGCATGCTGCGGACAGCAAAGAGCCTGGCAGTGGAGCTGAGGCAGCTGAGCCGTCGGCCTCATCTGGGCAGGGGCAGCCATTTGTGTTGCCTGTGGGTGTCAGCTCAAGGAATGAGGACTATCCCCGCACTTGCCGGCTCTGGTGAGGACCAAGGGCCCAGCTCTCAGCCAGCACAGCTTTGTGTGCTTCTGGGATGGTGGAGGGACCCCTGCCTCACAGAGTAGAGGTCTGCTTTTAGATGTCTTGTTATGTGGGGGTGGGGGAGGGGTGCATGTGGTGGTCAGAGGACAACTGTTAAGAGTCAGTTCTCTGCTACCTTTATGTGGGTTTCAGGAATTGAACTCAGTTGTCAGGCTTCATAGTGAGTGCCTTTACCCTCTGAACCATTTGGGGCTCAAGGTCTGTTTTTGGCTCATGGTTTCAGCCACTGTGGTGGTGATAGGGGAGGGGGCTGGGCTGTGTTTCTGCTTCAAGTGTATGGCAAAAGCAGCTCACATGTAGACCAGGGAGCAGAATATAGGCCAGAAATGGGAATCAGGCTGTCCCCAGTAAACTCTTTCCTACAGCTAGGCCCTACTGCTGAGGGCTTCACAGTCTTCCAGAACAGCAGCATTCAAACCCCAAGCCTGGGGGTGGCATGGGGCAGGACACACAACACTGCAGATCAAACACAGCACCCTTTCTAGAAGGGCATGAGGTGGGATTTCCAAGAGCCTTCAGGACATGGGGCCGCTTCAGGTGGCACAGACTACAAAGCCTCACTAGTGGCTCAAAAGATGACTTACTTGGTTAGCCAGGTAAAAAGAGACAAAGAAAATGCCCCACAGATTTGGCAAGTGGGTAGAGCAGGGGAGAGTTCAGTCCTGCAGTGTGCCTGGGTATCCTGTAGGTGGTGCTGTCATACACATCTAACATTGCTTGGTGAGTGCAGTTCATAAGGCTCTTTGATTTCTTGTCTCTCCTCTCACTACTACCTGTTTCTGCCGCCTTTGGGGTCAGACAGCCCCTTGTTTTTTTGTCATATGTGCCAACACTGGTGAGGGGGGCATCTCTGTCTTCCCTGCCCAACCCTGCAGGTGGTGCGCCATTGACCTGTAACCCAACCAGCTCACACTTCCTTGACTTTTGCTGTTAGACTTTAGCCCTGGCCACTGTCTTCAGCTCATGTTGGGCCCACCCTCATCAGTCAAGCCATCCTGCAAAGATGATAAGGACCAGGCACCTGCACTCTGAGGCAGGAAGTCTTTGTGGCCCTGTCTAGGCACTATGGCCATTGATTTACCAGCCTGGAGAGGGACTTGCTCTTCCTCATCTCGGGAGCCTCTGATCCATAGTGCTCTTCTCTCTGCTCTCCTGAGCAGCCTCAGTCAGTATATGTGGCTGGGTGCAGGGAGAGGCATGGGAGAGTTCCTGGTGGGCCTGCCTGGCACTCCTACTTCAGTTGCCACAATATAATCTGGGCCACAAATAGGCAAATCTTGGTCTCTTGCACACAGACTACCTAAATGGCTCAGAGCTCCCATGTTCTTAACAGAGTTCAGTCAGGGACCTGAGCCTGACGCTGTAAGATGAGGCTCTCCTTGGGCGTTGTTTACCTATCAGGTGCTGTGGTGTGGCTGGGAGCTGTGGTGTGGCTGGGAGCTGTGGAAATGCCTAGCACATTGTGCACTGTATGTGTCCCAGGTGGTGTGAGCTCCTGCTCTCAAGCACCTTCTGACGGCTTGTTTTCTTGTCTCTCTAGTTTCTACGGCACAGGCCTCATTGCTGGCCATGGCTTTACCAGTCCTGAGCGCACTCCTGGTGTCTTTGTCCTGTTTGATGAGGACCGCTTTGGGTTTCTCTGGCTGGAACTGAAGTCCTTCAGCTTGTACAGCCGAGTCCAGGCCACCTTCCAGAATGCCGATGCACCGTCGCCACAGGCCTTCGATGAGATGCTCAGGAACATCCAGTCTCTCACCTCCTGACCTCCACGTGGGCAGAGAGGCTGCACTGGGGCCCGGGGTGGGGGAAGCATGCACTTGGGAAATGAACGCACACCTCCTCACTAGGGTCCTGGTTGCCCTGAGACACTTCTTGTATAGTGTGTAACATACTCTTGTATATTTGATTTGTTGGTAGCTATGGAGGAGAGCATTAAATATGGTGGGAAAAATAGTGGAGCCAGTGTGAATCTGACAAGCTAGTGGCTGTGGCACAAAGAATCAAATGGATGCCTACAGGTTCTCTGGAGAAAGTGAATGAGGAAGGGTGGAGTTGCTAGATGCCAGCCAGAGAGTGTTATGGCACAGCCACCATGGATCATGGAAAGTGTTCTGCTGCACCTGTTCCCTTGGATGACCTAAACAGCTACAGCTGGGAAGTAGTCTTAGTGGAGTTGTTGGGAGTATCAGGCACAGGGAACCTGGATGGTTTCCATTTCCTCACTAACTTGCTCAGACAAGGGCATTCTACATGACCTGTTTTCCTGTCCTGGTTCATAGGAGCCACCAAGGAGTGTCACTGCAGTCTCCATCCTGGCCCCCTGGTGTCCTCTGTGTCATACCTGCTCCAGTGTTAGAACCAAGCTGTCAGGCCAGCCACTTGCTTGTCCCCAGCAGCCACACACACTTCCTTGTTCCTCCACACATATGATGGAGAGCTGGCACTGCCTATTTGCCTGTAGGGCCTGCCCTGGCTGGACACCATGTCCCTGTTGCTTTCATTTCTTGGTTGTGCAGGTGCCTCTCACGGTGCTGATGGCATCAGCAGAGATGCTTGTGAAGCCCTTCATAGGCCAAAGGGAGAGGACAGCTCCTTAGACAGTCACACTTCTGTGGAGAGCATTGCTAATTGAGGACTCACCTGGTCAAAGACCCTGAGTGCTGGGCCATGTTAATGTCTGTATTTGGGAACCCTTTTTGAGGCCAACATTAGTGTCTCCAAAAGGGCAGAGACCAAGAGCTCAGACCTTTGGGAACTCCAGCACTTCTAGTGTTGAGCAGACTTCTAGGCTGCCTCTTCCCCCTTGGCCACTCATCCCTGGGGGCTGTTGCAAGCCCTTGTACTAGGTGTTCAGAACTTATCCTACTGGTCAGAGACTTTAGAAAGGTGGCAATCACACAGGGATGGCTGTACCCTCCCTTACACAAGGGCCTGCAGGCTTGGGAGGTAGTGTGGCAAAGGACCTTTGTGAATTGGTTTTGGGATGCTGGCTTTCTGGGGTGCCATAACAGAACCTGCAGTGAGCTGCCAGGGCTGTGTCCTGACATCTAGCATCTTTTGCAGGATTGAGTCCCAGGCTTTTGTTACTTCCTTTGTTAGTCGTGAGTGTTTATATTGTGCCAAATGAGGCAGGCTCTGGACAGTGAGGACTGTGACTATGAAGCTTCAGGGACAGTGAAGACCAGGCAGTTGGGCAGGTGGTTTACTGTGTTTGGAGAAAATCAAGAATACATTTTACCCAGGCCCCGAGGCTTGCTGTGAAGATGCTGTAGTTCAGAATTTTATTAAGTGTCCTCAGCCACTTCCAATTAAGGAGGGGCAATCACACATATTAGCCAACCACACATTGGCTTTCCTAAACACATGCCCCATTTACTGCAGGTGAGTGTTGATAAGAGCTACTATCACTGTTGAATGTAGGTGAGACAGTACTGCCTAGCCAGGCCCAGGTTCTCTACAGGTGACAGGTAGACAGACATCTTTGTCTCTGGGCCTCCCCAGGTGAGCACTGTTGGCCGGCCTTGTCATTTTGCTGCTCAGGCTGTGTAGTTCCTGGAAGTCGGAGAGAAGGCCTCCTCTGGTTTTGCACACTTGGCCTGCTCTGCTGTGTGTGGTTGAGGTCAGGCACAAACCTCAGGAAGTTTTTCTAGTGGGGTCATTCTTTTGCATGAGGATGTTGTTGATATCTGTTTAGGCATTGATGTGTTCATCCCGATGCAGTGTCAGGACATTGGCTACCATTTCTCAGACGTCTAACATCTGCAGTCTGTCCTTGGGAGTCCTAGACTCCTTGCTTTGGTCCTGACTCACCTTGAGTCCCTCTAGCATCAGCTGCCTGGCTGTTTGTGGCATGTGTTCAGATCCTGGGCCCTTCTGCTCTGGGCTGTCAGCTCTGCAGCATCTCTGTACCTCCTCTTGGGTCCTCCCTGTCACCGCATGTCTACCAATAGTGTGGGTGCCTGGCAGTGGCTTCTGGCCAGATGCTGTGCCAGCCAGTCCTTCCTCACATCATACAGTGAGCTCGGAGGCACTTGCTGGGAGCTGAGCACGGTTGTGGCTAGGCAGCCAGGGCTCCTCCCCAGCTGTTGGCTGTCTATCCCAGTCCTCCAGCGGCTCTCTCTGGTTGCCAGGCTTGCTGAGAACAACACATGTTCACTTTTTAGTACTTGTGGGCACTAGTGGAGAGGAACCATCCTCCTCAGCTGTCAGGACACCTGTGCTCCCAGTTTGGGGCTCTTTTCCTAGTGCTGCACTGATGCCATAAAGCACCTGACCTGTAATTTGATGCTGGCCACAGCATCTGGGTGTGCTGAGCCCCTTCTGCTCCCCACCTTTCTGTCCTGATGGGGAAGAATGTTCACTCTTCATCCTCAGGTCATCATCAGCCATTTGCTGTTATAGACCAAGTTTGTGGTTCTGGGGAAGAGTGGGATAGATGTCTTCTCGGAGAAGCTGTAAACAGGAGGGCATGGTTTAGAACTTGTGAATGAGGCACTAGCATTCACAGCCCCTTGGCCCATATGGACAACCTCCAAAGAGGGATTTAATGGTGGGTAGCGACACTGAAGGTAACGCAGGACAATTTCCTTGGTTGGATCCTTGGTGTTTGCATGGAGACGAACAACACCGCCATAATGTGCTTTTTCTGCCCAATTACTTGTGCTCACAAGCCTGTTTGGAAAATGTGGTTTGTCTGGAGCGCCTCCAAGCTCCAGACAGATGGTGGCTCTTAAAAGCCTTCTCAGGTCAGCTCAGCTTTGCCTAAGGGTCAGGGAAGGGCCCTGAAAAAGTAGCTGCTGTGTGCCTGGTGTCTGATGTCACCTGTGACACTCACCTAGGACATGTGGTTGTTTCTCCTTTCAGTTTTCAGTAAACCTGATTTTGAAGCCTTGTTGCGGGCCTTGTGATTTGTTTCTCTGGGGTGTTATTAAGATGGAGATGGGGGCTCCCAGGAGGGGTGGTTGGGGCTGTGCATAATACACACACGCAAACACTTAAAATTTTTATATGTGTTTTACTTAACATGTGTGCATCACACGCATGTCTGGTGTCTGAAGAATTCAGATGTCAGATCCTCTAACACTAGAGTTACAGATGATTTTGAACTGACATGTGGGTGTTAGAACCTGAGCTCGGGTCCTCTGCAAGAGCAGCAGTGCTGTTAGCTGCTGAGCCACCTCTCTAGCCCCCTACACTGATCTAAAGTGAAGCTTCAGCTTTTGCAAATGGGGATGAAGAATCAAGGTGATTTGAGTCCAAGAAAATGTTGACTTGTATCTTTGTCCCCACCCAATGCCCCGAGGTACAATGCAAACAAGGTGAAGGGCAGTTATGCCCTTAGTATACAGAATCCGTAAGTGTTGTGCCAGGCATCCACAGCAAGGTGGCAGCTTTGAGAACTCTGATGCCTCCTTGAGGGCATAGCAGGCAGGGCCCAGGGCCAATGTGCATAGATTGCTGTTGCATTATGGGATGTTGGAAGAGGTACAGTATTAAGTTTATGTAAAACATAAGAACAAAACAGCTATATGGGACTGAATGACACATAAGCTTTGACTTCACAAGCATGAGAATCTGAGTTCAGATCTCCAACACCTTATAATCCCAGTACATGGGAGGCAGTAACAGGACCCCTGGGGGGATCTCTGACTAATGGGTGAGCTCTAGGCTCATTGACATAACCTGACTTAAAGTAAGGTGCAGGGGCCAGGAAAACAGCTTAGTGAATAAAAGTGCTTGTGCTATCAGGAGACCTGAGTTTGATCCCTAGGATCCATAATAAAACAAAAACAAAACCCAGATGCCATGGCTTGGGTCTAATACCAGCATTCCATCAGAGGAGAGGTGAAGGCAGGAGAATCTGCTGGAAGCTTATGTTTGCAGCAGAAGGGAAGAACCAACTCAGCAAAGCTACTCTGACCAACCACATGAAGTAGAGAGTAGAGAGCAGAGATCCGCACCAGGCCATGTGGCTGGCGAGGACAAGACTCAACTAAGGAGCCACCAGGGAACTCTAGCCCCGGCTGCAGGGCTGCAACACAGTAACAGCTCTGCATCATGTCATGCGGCTGGTGGGGGTAGAACTCAACTAGGAACCAGCTGGTGCCTATGGCACTGGGCAGTCAGACACCATTATGGTGAGCGAGTACAGGGTGGGGAGGTGGAAGAGACAGGTGGACTGGGCTGGGGAGAGAGGCAGGTCTGGAGAGGTGAGTGTGGTGAGGAACAGGCTAATGTGAACGGCCTGCTTGCCACCTGAGTCCAAGGTGATGTCTGGACCTGGGCTTTTGCTAAGGGCCAAGATTGGTCTGAGGCCCTGAAGCATCTGAGGAGGCCTGAGTTGACTGAGGGCTGAGCAAAGGCCTATAGTCTGGGCTGCCACCTGGAGCCAGGTTGGTGTCCAAGGGCCATGTAGCCACAGGGGCCATGCCGATCTGAGAGGCCTGCACTGGGGCTATGGTTACATCTAGGCCAGGGCTGCTGCCAAGGGCTATGTCTGGGTCCATTGTTCTACCACAGCTGGGGTCTGTGTTGATGTCCGGTGGCCCATGCTGCCACCAAAGTCCACATGGATGCCCAGGGTCTAGGTTACAATATGTGACCATGTTGATGCCTGAGGGCTGTGCTGCCGCCAGAGCCATGCCAAGTTGAGTGGCCTGCATTGCCACCTGGGAACATGGTGACATCTGAGTCTGGGCTGTGGCCTCAGATCATGTCTGTCCAGGGTCCAACCACAACCAGAGGCTGCGTTGATGTCTGTGGCCCATGTTGCCAAAGGCCACATGGATGCCCAGGGTCTAGGCTGCAAACTATGGTCATGTGAGCAATGTAGGTGTTCAGGAGCTATGTTGCCGCCAGGGCTACGCTGATCTGAGTGGCCTGTGCTGCTGCTAAGGGCCATGTATGGGTCTGTGTTGATGTCCATGGCTTGTGTTACCACGGTGGGGTGGGGGTGGAGGATCATAGAACCCAAGAGTGCTGAAATTCAAGGGCCATGCTGAGCTGGTCCCATCCCTCACTGGTCCTGGCATAGCTGCCCCCCCCCTGCAATTAGGAAAAATGGCCTCATCCTTCACCATGCATGTGCACCTCACCTGGGCAGCACACTAGAGCTGACCCTGTTGTTGGAGATGCAGGTGAGCTGGCTCTGAGGGCATAAGAACAGCAGAGCTGACCCCACCCCACCCCCACCCTTATCTGCCATGTGGTGGCATCCTGCCACCTGCGGAAGGAAAGACAGCTGGCTCTGGGGTCACAAGAGTGAGAGAACTAGCCCTGCCTCTCATCGGCTGCAGCACACAGGAGAGCAGGCCCTGCACCCTGACAGGGCAGCACACTACAGCACACTAGAACTAACCCTTTTGTTAGTGGCTCAGGTGACCTGGCCCCAGGGGCATGAGAGCAACACCCCCCCCCCCCCCCCCCCCCACAAGACCTGAGGGCCTGAGAGTGAAAGAACTGGCTCCACGCCCAGCTGCAGGCTGCGCTGGGTGGGCTGGCCAAGGCAGTGCTGGAGTGTTCACCTGGGCAGTGAAGATGAGGGAAAGCTGGCAGGCTGACCAACCCAGCTACCTCCCAGGCCCAGAACCAGGGCTGTGGGTGGCCCACCACAGCATCCACCCCATCTGTGGACAGTTGGAGCATGTGAAGGGGTTGGACCTACAGAACCAAAGCTGAAGTATCTCTATGTCACAGGACAACAACAGGATATCCAAGAGAAGCTCCAGTAAGAACCTATTACTGATGGTATAGCAGTAGCTAGAGGTCTCACACCAGACCAATGGCTCATGGCAACGAAACACTTGCAATGAAGATGAAAGAACTAAACTGCCTGTCTTAACAGGCCACATTACAGCTTACAACGAGATTCTTCTTTTTTGTTTTTTCTTTTAAAATTTCTTTTGTTTTTTGGGGGAGGTTGCAAGGATGGAGGGCGGATGCAGGGGGATGGGGAGACTGGTGGGATCAGGATGCATGTTGTGTAATCTGCAAAGAATCAATGACAGTTAAAAAAAAAAACACATGACATGGGGCTGGAGAGATGGCTCAGAGGTTAAGAGCACTGGCTGCTCTTCCAGAGGTCCTGAGTTCAATTCCCAGCAACCATATGGTAGCTCACAACCATCTGTTATGAGATCTGGCGCCCTCTTCTGGTGTGCAGATATACATGGAAGCAGAATGTTGTATACATAACAAATAAATAAAATCTTTAAAAAAAAACACATAACATTCATTCACATGTTATATAAGTCTGAGCTAGCTTTATGATTAAAATGTTTTAATTATTTTTAAAAGTGGAGAGCACTAGAGGAAGGCACTCAATGTTAACCTCTGGCTTCCACAAACATGTACAGTGACACACATACAACAGGTACACACATATAGATGTAACACAAAATTTAGAAAGTGTGCAGTTAATGTTGCTTTGTGGGCACTGTTGGGCCTCTGCCCCACCAGGGTGGAGCAGCTGCTGCTGGTGTACCAGAGATGCAGGAGCCC